ATAATTTTATTTTCTTATAATTTTATTTTCATTTTATACTATTTTTTAATTATATTGAAAACCAAAAATTGTATGTATATTAAAAGAAATGAATGATTTCTAACAAGTACATTTAACATTTTATTTCATTTAATTTAAATTTAAGTAAATTTAATTTCATTTAAATTAATATATAATGAGAGACAGAAATGAAAATAAAAATGTAATAAAAGGGACAAAAAATATATAACTATTCACTCATGAGATAGTAACAAAAACAATGTAACAGTCCATTTATAACCTATTATTACTTCAAGAAAATGTTATGTGCAATGCATGAAATAAAAGGCTTTTTTATTTTTTATTTTATTTTAATCTATGATCTCGGTCCATCCTCCTCTCCCTAGGAAAATGCTGTTTTGCGAATGCTACACGCGTGATATTTATCACGATCTGGGACGCGATCTGGAATGACGTATCGCGATCCATATCGACACACTCTACATGTTCATTACGGATCACGTCAGTATTGGGCACAAAACTGTCAAGTGCAGACATATCTAAAATGGACCAAAATGTAGAAGAAGCTTTTTTTTAATAGGATAGGGTGACAAACGAGCACACAGTCCACCTGATAGTAAGTGGTTGCTGTAGCTCATATACCCGTGTGGACTAAGATGGAATGCCTCGTTTCCAGTAAAAAGGGTCTCCAGTTCTCTACACTCACCACACAAAACACAGCAGCATTAAGCTACTATTTTACGCTGGTATTCTGTGAGAGCGTGGTCCTTCCCCGGTCTAGCCGACCCATTCGTGCTACAACTATACTACTAATATAACTGCATCATGGCTCGACAACATATAAAAGCTTGCTTAAAGTTTGTATATATAATATTAAAAAGGAGAGTGAGTCGATTTTAACGATTTTTTTTCTAACATCTTCCATTGAAGCGTCATTTTTTATTTTTTTACAAATTGGTAGTAACTTCTGAAGTGCCTTCATGCGCTTTCAATTGTTTTTAAAACCATCACACGATGTGTCCCATAATATGGGTGTTGTTTCCAATCATAATAGCTCCGTCGAAATAGGATTCTCGCTTTCGTTTGCGATTTCGCTCGCATCGCTACAAAAGTCATCCTCTTCCATCGCTTCTCCAGAGCAGACTGACGCGATTCGTATCGCAGCAACACTACACGCGAAATATTTATCACGATCCTTGGATCGCGATATGGATTTTTGGAAATCTAGAAATACTGTGATCCGTATCGCGATCCATCAATAATTGATACTACACGTTCAATAAATATCACCAGTGTTGCCACTTTAGCAACTTTGTCGCTAAATCTAACGAGTTTTTTGTTACTTTAGGGAGTTTAATTTAATGTGTAGCGACAAAAAATGTTCTAGTGACTTTTAGCGACATTTGCACTTCAATTTTCGTTACCATCTGACTACTTTAAGCGTAAGGAAATTACTCTATAAAATGTAAATGAACAAAGGTTCTCTGGATGTTGCTTTTGCAATGATAAACACAGAAAAACAACTACATTCCATATTAAAATAATATTATTTGATTTTATTTCTACTCCGCGCCTCCGGGCTTTTATATTATACTCTCAAGGGGTAGGGCAGACAAGACCACGTGGATAGTGGGGTGCTCTGATTCGGTTTTGGGTACTTTTTGGATATTAATTAAGTAAGTAAACACTTTATTGTAGTAAGAATTAGATAATACAGAAAGTTGCAAACAATAAAATACAAGTACAAAAGCTGTACTAATTAAGAAATACAAACAAGTTGCAAACGATGAAATACAAGTACTAAGGTGGACCTAAAATAGAGTAAACTTTATTCTATTTTATATACATATTTAATTGCACTTATCAGCTCTCCATATGCATCTAAATGGTTTGTCACAATTTTTCGTCTCCAAAATTAACGAAATGTACTCGATACCAAGTAGTATTGATACTTTTGATGCGATACTTGATATCGAGTAGGTATCAATACTTTCAAAATTTTCGGAACCCTACACTAATTGACGTTTGACATCAATCATTTGTCAAATTTATTTTGTAATTGCGTGTTATTTGCCAATTTGTATGAAAAGTTTAAAAAAATATATCTCATGAACCGAAGGTTTCTGCAACTTAATGCCCCATTTACATTCAGCCCTGATGGGCAGGGAAGTGAGCAGGGCAGTGAGCAGGGCAGTATGTAAACAGGCTACTCGCGCTGACACTGCCGCTGCTGCTGCCGCTGCCCGACGATCCCTCAAATGTCGGTTTTTCGTGCGGAAGTCAAAGGATGGGCAGCGCGAGCGGCAGTAAGTGTTCACATTCAGCTCCATCGCTCACTTCGCGCCAAGCGCCGGGATGAATGAACGTGCGTGCCGTCTTGTTATTAAGTACGATCTACCAAAATGCCTTTCGAGTGGAATAATGAAAATACAATAAAGTTTTTAGAACTGCTGGAATCAGAAAAAACTATATGGGTTTTCTTTATCTTTATCTTTTACGAGAGCTTTCTTCAAACTGGTTTCTACAATGTTAATTATGTTATCATAGCAGTCTTGTACAGAGTTAATTTCTAGGCAGTTCATAAGGTCTTCATTGCATTCGTTGAGTGATTGTTCATATCTCGATCTTTCTTTTAGATCATAGATTACTGTTTTTTTATTAACTGGCTTTACGGCTCTGGGTTCTAGCTCTTCTGAGCCTATCATTTCTTTCGGAATCATCATTTTATATTCTTTTTCTTCACAATATGCTGATGCGTCACATTGCGAAGTCCTTGGGAGATATTGACGAAAGCTCAACCTAGCGGACTGTTGATGAGGACAGCCACTCAAGTTCATAAAGCGCCCAAGCGATCAAAATAACGAGGTTTATATTGACATCAAAGCATTTTTTGTTGTTTTCTCTAATAGTTCACACGAGCGGACACAAAATCGCATTACTTTTTATGAATCAAAATCCACTTCAAACCATTATTCAAGCGACAAAACAGGAGCGACAATTCGTCTACGGCCAAGTTCCTGCCAAAACTCTTCTAGATTACCGTATATATCTGAGATCATGGAGATTAGAAAAGAGGAGAACGATCGCTACGTAGTATGTCTAAAGCAAGCCCACCTATCCTTGAAAATTTGTAGAATTTATAGCGGCGCTGCCGTCGGTGAATAATGACTGCGAAGTATAGCTGTTTATGTGTATGACTTAGATGAAGTTAGTTAAATAATGTACAAATTTTCTTCGCGGCATTGGTGAGATAATTTTCATGCTCCGTAATTTTGTAATTTTTGACAAAAAGAAACATAAAAAAATGGAGAAATATTTTATTGTGCGTGGATGTGCAATTGGTTTAGCATCTGATTGGATAAATAGACTGAAAATGACTTTTATTGAGTGAACTTAGCGATCGCAGCGTCTCACTTATGGTGTCCATACCTCTGGAACACTATTTTCTACGGTGATCGTTCTCCTGTTTTCCAACCTCCATGGAGTAGACTGAGATATTCAACGTCCAGATGTCATAGTTAAACGCGGTATGAACTTGTAGTATCTTGAAGTCTTGTCGTTGTATGCTCGGCTTGGAATTTTATTTTATTAATTATAGGATCCCAAGCAGATTGTAGCACCCCGCCATCTTCTCTAATGAAATTAGTATGTTATTTGATTTCAATAGCCTCGCGACATCCTTGGAAAGAATCGGTGTTCTATAGCGAGGATTTGCGGTCTATCATCTGATGTGGTAATGGGGGTGATCATGTACGTGTTCACATACTGTAATCTATGGCACCTACTGTTAACTATCGTAGTTAACCGTAGGTGCCATAGATTACAGTATCTGGACGTTGAACACCTCAGTCCCTCCCTGTGAACATGGGTGCTGTAAAGTGCTCAAATTCTGTCGGCAGTCTTCAATGACTGCCAATTTTTTTACAGAACATGGATAAAAAACGAGCACACAGTTCACCTAAAGGTAAGTGAAAGCTGTGGCCAATGGATATCTAAATCTATCTTAGATTAAGATTCAATATGCTGATTCGTTGTCAGTTATTTAGTAGTAGTGACAAGTGGAAAGTTTTGATAAACAATTGTTTATCTCACTTCAATTTACATTGAAAAATAAATAAATTTCAGTATAGCTTCCGATTTTTTTTTGATCAAGAAGTAGAAAATTACCGACGGTGTAACCAAAGTAGACAGTAAAAGTGAGTAAATATACAATTATACGTAATAACGTCCGTCTGCTGGGCAGAGAGTGCCACAGCCACACTACACCTATGTGCGTTGTGAAGTCCTCTCATGTCTTAAAAATATTTTAAATATTTACGATTGGAAGTTTTTGACAGAAAATCAGCACCGATTTTCTATTATAATGAATTTTATTTATTTTTTATTATAAAATTAAGACACCTAATGGACAGATTTGGTTAGAAAATATAGTCACTTGCTGTATAATGGTCGTAATTAATTATGTATTTTAATAATATATAAAATAAAAGTGAATTTTAATGTAACGTAACACAAAATTAAAATTACACACTTAAAATATTTAACTTAAATTATTTACAAATGTATAATATCGTTGACTGTTAAATGTTATTTATGGCAGTTTATGGCAGTGAAAAATCTTATGATAAGTACTCGTTCACAGTATTATTCACAATTTAGTGTGATTGATATAAATGAAAACTTTAAAGAGTTGCGACTTCAAATGTATTTAAATTGAATTTTTTGTATATTTTATTGTAATAATCACAAATCAATCTTCAAGCAACTGCAAGAACTTTTTATAGGATATTCTAATTTCAGTCTTTAGTCAATCTGGCGTCGCAATGTTTTAATTACCTAAATATTTATAAATTAATTTAATGCAAACATTATTTATAAAATTATCTTACACTATTTCACATATATATATATATATATATATACATATATATATACATATATATATATATATATATATATATATATATATATATATATATATATATATATATATATACCTCTTAAGCATGATTTGAATCGAGTGGATAATAGAGCCATTTGAATTCATTGCCTTTAAGTCCATATTTTGCGTCTTTTTCTGTTTCCGGTTTAGGAACATCGTCCGATAATAAATCGAGAACTTCTTGTGTAATTTTGGGACGGAAACCATGTTCATCAGCAACGTAATCGATTCTGGTTCCGATTCCATTCCGTCCAGTAACATAATAATAACCTTGTTTTGCCCCATCCGTATAACCTTGTTCGAAGTGTCCATGGAATCCTCCGGTGTAATTAAACGTATATAGAAGTTGAGTCATATCTTCCTTAGTTAAACTTTCAGGCAATCCTTCTTTCTCGCCGGGGCGTTTGTAATAGATGTCAGTATTTTTATCAACTATTTGCATCTGAGCTGATATCAGTAGCGGTTTCTTGGGTAAGGAGTTTTCTTGGGTTGATTCAAATGAATTGGTTGCGGTGTTTTCCGTAAAGTATTGTTGTTGGTGTTGCTGTCTCAGCTGTTGTTGTGACTGCTCGTCATATGATTTGGGATTTCGGTTTATTCCAGATTGCAAAGTTTGACCTTGGTATTGGTTACTTATAAGTGATTGAGGATTAGTCAATTCAAGTTTATCTCCTTGTTGTGAATAATTATGCTGTTCTTTATTTTGTGGTGCAAAACCAGTGATTGCTTGATAATTATGTCCATTGTTTGAACTTCCTTGTTGACTTTGTTGAGGATATTTTCCGCCTGAATTTTGATCTAATTGTGGATAATTCTGTGACAATTCAGCATCTTGCTTTAGAGGATAATTTTGTTCGTTGCCAAATTGTTGCGAAATGCCGTGAGGGCTACCAAAGACATTTTGTTGAGGCTCTTGAGAAATCGCTGGTTTTATACCACTATTTGAAATAAATGGTGCTTGAGTAGTAGTTGTCGTAGTGGGAATGCTACAATGTGAACAAGATTTTGTGAGGGACGCTGGACCCGGCTTTTGTGATTCTTGACGAGATGTGTTCAAAACTGGTGCCACTGCGTTCGTTGCCACTTGCTGTGAAGGTGGGAATTGAAGTGATCGGCCTTTTTCTGCACCAGTTCTAGCAGTTGGATCTGTATTTAAAATAAAATATAATTATTTAACGTTACGTGTGTGTCTGTGGTGTATGATAAGAAGAATATACTAAATACTTTTTCATATATCATCGATATGTGGCGTGCAAATTATTGAACGAAAGTCTACATACTAATTTCATTAGAGAAGATGGTGGGGTGCTACAATCTGCTTGGGATCCTATAATTAATAAAATGAAATTCCTAGCCGAGCATACAACGACAAGACTTCAAGATACTACAAGTTCATACCGCGTTTAACTTTGACATCTGGACGTTGAATATCTCAGTCTACTCCATGGAGGTTGGAAAACAGGAGAACGATCACCGTAGAAAATAGTGTTCCAGAGGTATGGACACCATAAGTGAGACGCAGCGATCGCTAAGTTCGCTCAATAAAAGTCATTTTCAGTCTATTTTTCCAATCAAATGCTAAACCAATTGCACATCCACGCACAATAAAATATTTCTCCATTTTTTTTTATGTTTCTTTTTGTCAAAAATTACAAAATTACGGAGCATGAAAATTATCTCACCAATGCCGCGAAGAAAATTTGTACATTATTTAACTAACTTCATCTAAGTCATACACATAAACAGCTATACTTCGCAGTCATTATTCACCGACGGCAGTGCCGCTATAAATTCTACAAATTTTCAAGGATAGGTGGGCTTGCTTTAGACATACTACGTAGCGATCGTTCTCCTCTTTTCTAATCTCCATGATCTCAGATATATACGGTAATCTAGAAGAGTTTTGGCGGGAACTTGGCCGTAGACGAATTGTCGCTCCTGTTTTGTCGCTTGAATAATGGTTTGAAGTGGATTTTGATTCATAAAAGTAATGCGATTTTGTGAATTAAGTGTCCGCTCGTGTGAACTATTAGAGAAAACAACAAAAAATGCTTTGATGTCAATATAAACCTCGTTATTTTGATCGCTTGGGCGCTTTATGAACTTGAGTGGCTGTCGTCATCAACATTCCGCTAGGTTGAGCTGTCGTCAATATCTCCCAAGGACTTCGCAATGTGACGCATCAGCATATTGTGAAGAAAAAGAATATAAAATGATGATTCCGAAAGAAATGAAATGATGGCTCAGAAGAGCTAGAACCCAGAGCCGTAAAGCCAGTTAATAAAAAAGCAGTAATCTATGATCTAAAAGAAAGATCGAGATATGAACAATCACTCAACGAATGCAATGAAGACCTTATGAACTGCCTAGAAATTAACTCTTTACAAGAATGCTATGATAACATAATTAACATTGTAGAAACCAGTTTGAAGAAAGCTCTCGTAAAAGATAAAGATAAAGAAAGAAGCAGCGTGTTATCAACTGATACTACAAAATTAATACAGCGTAGAAGTGCTCTACAAAAAATAAAACCAAAGACGCGAGCTATGAAAAATTAATTAAAAGCGCTGTACAAGCTAGTTAGCAAATATGTTCGAAAAGACTACTCGAACCATCGAAAACGTGCTATCGAAAAACATCTTAACTCAACAGGAAGTATTAAGAAAGCGTATAAGGAACTGCGATCTCATAAAACATGGATAGAAGGACTCAACAGTCCTCAAAGAACAACGCATGACAGAAGAGAAATCTTAAACATAGCAACTAACTTTTATAAAAACTTGTACAGTGCCCCAGAATGCCTAGACATAGACCAAACTGAACCGGAAAATGATGACAAAGATATAGATATAAACCCAGTGGATGAATCAGAAATTACAATGGGAATAAAAATGTTAAAATTAGAGAAGAGTCCAGGACCGGACAGAATAACAAACGAGGCAATAAAAATAGCTGGTACTTACCTAGTAAGCCCTCTGACACATCTATTTAATTTTATTTTAAGTTCTATAACATTTTCTATAACACCCACACAGTGGTCCGAGTCAAATATCATTCTATTGTTCAAAAAAGGTGATCCAAAGAACATAGGCAATTATCGACCAATTAGTCTTCTTCCTTCACTTTATAAATTATTCTCATCAGTAATACAGAAGAGAATCAGGAATACACTGGAAAAAAGTCAACCGATCGAGCAAGCTGGGTTTCAATATATTAGAGCTACTCCACAATGAACCACATCCACTCTTTGGAATTACTTATTGAAAAATATCAGGAATATCAACGTCCACTCTACATAGCGTTTGTAGACTACCAGAAAGCTTTCGATACAATACTACATCCCGCAATATGGAAAGCTTTACAAGCACAAAAAGTGGGAAAAAAATACGTCCAAGTCTTAAAATATCTTTACGAGAGAAACACTAGTAGAGTGAAACTAGAGACCGCAGGACCACCTATTCATATCAAAAGAGGAGTACGGCAAGGCGATCCTCTGTCACCTCTAATCTTTATAGCAGTTCTAGAATCGATTATCGGAAAACTAAATTGGGATAAAATAGGTATATGCATAAAAGGGAAACATATTTGCCACTTGAGGTTCGCCGACGACATTGTCCTTCTATCAGAAAATAGCATAGAGCTAGAATCAATGTTACACATATTACAACAAGCAAGTAGAGAGGTAGGACTAGAAATTAACCTGAGAAAAACAAAACTCATGACAAATTCCTCAAAAAACTCTATATGTCTTGACAACACGCCAGTAGATTACGTCGAGAACTATATCTACTTAGACAAACAAATTTCGTTTCAAAAACAAAATAATGATACAGAAAATGATAGAAGAATACATGACATGGAAAAAATTTTGGAGTCTAAAGGAAGTTCTAAAAAGTCAGATGCCAATGAAAGTCAAGAGCAAAGTCATAGACTAATGTCTTTTGCCAACATTAACCTACGCATGCCAAACTTGGAAGTTCACACGAAGAGTCAAAAATAAAATCACATCTTGCCAGCGAAGCATGGAAAGAAGCGTCACAAAAATTAAAAAAAAGTCAAAAAATTCGTCACACTATCATCAGGCAAAAGACAAGAGCAACAGATGCCCTCACACACGCTCTAAAGTTAAAATGGAGGTGGGCAGGACACGTAGCGAGAATGAACGACGAGCGATGGACAATTCGCATGACGTCATGGCTAGGTCCTACAGGCACTCGGAAAAGAGGAAGACATATAGATGGGCAGACGACATCACCCGAGTCGCAGGCAAAAACTGGATGTCGGAAGCCAAAGACCGAGACCGCTGGCGTTCTCTGGAGGAAGCCTTCACCCTCACTACTTGAGGGGTTCATGCATCGTATTTTTTTAATCTTAAATCTTTATTCTATTTTAAATCTATAATTTTATTTTCTTATAATTTTATTTTCATTTTATACTATTTTTTAATTATATTGAAAACCAAAAATTGTATGTATATTAAAAGAAATGAATGATTTCTAACAAGTACATTTAACATTTTATTTCATTTAATTTAAATTTAAGTAAATTTAATTTCATTTAAATTAATATATAATGAGAGACAGAAATGAAAATAAAAATGTAATAAAAGGGACAAAAAAATATATAACTATTCACTCATGAGATAGTAACAAAAACAATGTAACAGTCCATTTATAACCTATTATTACTACAAGAAAATGTTATGTGCAATGCATGAAATAAAAGGCTTTTTTATTTTTTATTTTATTTTAATCTATGATCTCAGTCCATCCTCCTCTCCCTAGGAAAATGCTGTTTTGCGAATGCTACACGCGTGATATTTATCACGATCTGGGACGCGATCTGGAATGACGTATCGCGATCCATATCGACACACTCTACATGTTCATTACGGATCACGTCAGTATTGGGCACAAAACTGTCAAGTGCAGACATATCTAAAATGGACCAAAATGTAGAAAAAGCTTTTTTTAATAGGATAGGGTGACAAACGAGCACACAGTCCACCTGATAGTAAGTGGTTGCTGTAGCTCATATACCCGTGTGGACTAAGATGGAATGCCTCGTTTCCAGTAAAAAGGGTCTCCAGTTATCTACACTCACTACATGCAACACAGCAGCATTAAGCTACTATTTTACGCTGGTATTCTGTGAGAGCGTGGTCCTTCCCCGGTCTAGCCGACCCATTCGTGCTACAACTATACTACTAATATAACTGCATCATGGCTCGACAACATATAAAAGCTTGCTTAAAGTTTGTGTGGGTATCATTATGACAATAATATTAAAAAGGAGAGTGAGTCGATTTTAACGATTTTTTTTCTAACATCTTCCATTGAAGCGTCATTTTTTATTTTTTTATAAATTGGTAGTAACTTCTGAAGTGCCTTCATGCGCTTTCAATTGTTTTTAAAACCATCACACGATGTGTCCCATAATATGGGTGTTGTTTCCAATCATAATAGCTCCGTCGAAATAGGATTCTCGCTTTCGTTTGCGATTTCGCTCGCATCGCTACAAAAGTCATCCTCTTCCATCGCTTCTCCAGAGCAGACTGACGCGATTCGTATCGCAGCAACACTACACGCGAAATATTTATCACGATCCTTGGATCGCGATATGGATTTTCGGAAATCTAGAAATACTGTGATCCGTATCGCGATCCATCAATAATTGATACTACACGTTCAATAAATATCACCAGTGTTGCCACTTTAGCAACTTTGTCGCTAAATCTAACGAGTTTTTTGTTACTTTAGGGAGTTTAATTTAATGTGTAGCGACAAAAAATGTTCTAGTGACTTTTAGCGACATTTGCACTTCAATTTTCGTTACCATCTGACTACTTTAAGCGTAAGGAAATTACTCTATAAAATGTAAATGAACAAAGGTTCTCTGGATGTTGCTTTTGCAATGATAAACACAGAAAAACAACTACATTCCATATTAAAATAATATTATTTGATTTTATTTCTACTCCGCGCCTCCGGGCTTTTATATTATACTCTCAAGGGGTAGGGCAGACAAGACCACGTGGATAGTGGGGTGCTCTGATTCGGTTTTGGGTACTTTTTGGATATTAATTAAGTAAGTAAACACTTTATTGTAGTAAGAATTAGATAATACAGAAAGTTGCAAACAATAAA